AATTAATAGCAATGCGAGTTGTGCTAGAATCTGTGCATGGATATTCCCAAGCAGATGTTAGATTTGTTTGTCTGTTGTTGTTTTTTCTTATTTATTTGAAGAAAGCCTGAACCCTGAGCTTGACCAATAAAAATAACAACAGTAATTGTTGTTTTACCAAGTACTAATAGCAAGTTTAGTAACTCACAAAGCAGTGATTTCTGAATTAGTAGCTAAAAGGCCAGTGTTGTATGTGGGAAGCGTGATGTAGGAGTTAAATGTGGATTCAGTGTTCATTGGCAGATCTTAATAAGAGCGATTCAGAGCTTTTTTTCCAGAGGCCAGAGGTTGATATTAACGCAGTGCTGGATCGGCAGACGCTCACAAAGTGTTTGCAAGGCCTGTTGGGAATTACGAGATGTGCAAGAGGAGAGTATTAATGGCAGGTCACCGAGTTCTTGTTTTCTAGTGTTTCACCTTTGCTCTTCTCACTTCTTTTCCTCTCTAGTGTTCATTGGAAACATGAATTTGAGTAATGATCTTGTCTTACGAGGTACTGGTTCATAGATCTTCAGCGTTTGGCTTGTTTTGGTGGCCCTCAGCCATCTCTAATGAGGATTTGGTTCCAGCTTAAAATTGTGGACACTTTTATAATTCAGCATGGCATGATTTGTTTTGGTGTGTGTGTGTGTGTGTGTGAGTAATGTGAAAAAAATTTTGCCTGCAAGATACTGGGAAAATATGGGATATTGCTATTGATTATTGTGATAGTGATTTTTCTGATTAGAGCTGCAGAATATATCGTTTCTGCATCGATATCGCAATGTGCGGTTGCAGATGTGCAACGTTGAGTCTGAATTATAGTTGACCAGGAGCTACAGAACACATGCATGTTTATTTCTGAAGCGCTTTTACAATGTAGATTGTGTCAGCTTAACATGAAAATCCAGTTTACAGAGTTGAAGTTCAGTTTAGTTTAGTTCAGTGTGGGTTAATTTTCACTGCTGGAAGTCCAAACACTGAAGAGCAAATTCATCGATGCGCAGCTCCACAAGTCCCAAACCAAGCAAGCCAGTGGTGATAGTGGCGAGGAACAAAACTTTACCAATTGACGAAAGTGAAGAAAAAAATAAAAAAATAAACTTGTGAGAAACCAGGCTCAGTTGGGTACCACCATTTCACCATCTGACCAAGCTTTCTGTGTGGAGTTGCAGTCTAGGTGCCGGAGGCTGTAGAACGCTGGCCGTTCATCGAGGAGAACTGCAGGTGTGAGTAGGTCACCAGCGGGTGATCATACTGGGCCATGGGATCAATGCAAAGACTTGTCTGTCACTAGCTATGTTTCCATCCAAAAATACGAATAAACTTTTGGCGCAAAAGTGGATTACCACTTAAAAGTTGTGCGTATGAAGCATCGTTTCCATCCAACGAGTCAAAGCGAACAAAATCGTCACTTTCTGATCAACTGGCCCCAAATATCAACAGTAAAAACTGCATTTGCTGCAGTAGGAGAAGCTGCATCAATCTTTTCTAAATGAATGCGCCTCAGAAGACAATCCTGACAAGCAGTGAGCGCGCAGTGGCGTTTGAAGGTGTCAGACGCGGAGCACAGGCGCTCTTGATTCTGGAGGTTATTACAATATAATTAATACATTAATACTGAAATGGTAAGGCGTTTTATAATAACCAAAACAACATTTCAGATGTTTTATAATGTGCTCAGCCTGACGTTTTATCCATTCACACACATTTTAAGCATCACATGATCTCTTTTAACAAAATCACATGACCTTTTTTAATGCGCATGCTGGAGTTTGTGCGGTAAAAGTGTTTCCATCGCAGTTTATGCGCATCTTTTCTCACTTGGATGATGCGACGGCAGCCACAGGACAACGGCGCCAGTGCGCTCACCACACACCAGCTATTGGTGGAGTGAAGTGACAGTGATAGAGCCAATTCGGTGGATGGTGATGTTTGGGAGGCCATGATCATAAGGGCCGATAGAGGGACTTTGGCCAGGACACATAATAGTGGGATCTGTCAGACGTAGCACAGTGCTTATTCAGTGAAGGCACAGCTAAACAGATGTGTTTTCAGTCTTGATTTGAACGTGCCTAATGTTGGAGCACATCTGATCATTTCTGGAAGCCGATTCCAGCAGCGAGGGGCGTAGTAGCAAAAAGCTGATCGCAAAAACAAGCGCACTTCTGTGTTGAAGAATAAGGTCAATAAACCATTTCAGTGTGGTGATGTTGGACTATGAACATTTCCTGCTTGTTATCAAACTATTTCATAACTGACAAGAGGAAATTCAATCATAACTTCATGTTAAAACAGCTCTCATAACATTATTATTGTTATTATTATTATTTTTTAAAGATTTATTTAGGGTATTTTTGCCTTTATTGAGTTGATAGGACAGAAATTAGACAGGAAGCGAAGTGGGGGAGAGAAAGAGAGTTAAGACGGGAAATGTCCTTGAGCTGGGATTCGAACTCGGAACGCCCTGAAGTGCTACTGCACCATATGTCAGCGCACTAACCGCTATTGCGCCGACAACCCATATAACATTATTTATCAATATTCCCGGAAGCTGCAGAAATGAAAAATGTAAAACAGGAAATACATTTAGACCATTGTTTTTGTTTACATCCCTCAAATGGTCTATATTGTGCAGCTCTAGAAAAAAATACAGGCTGTCATATTTTTGTAACACCTGTTTAGTTTGTAATTTCACTTGTTGACAGCCTGAAGACATCAATCAGATCCTGTGATTTGTAAACCAAGTACTTGTTTTGATGTTCAACTCATTGACCTTTGAAAATACTGACCACCCAGAGTGTTTACTTTGCTGTTCATAATCATAATAGTATGTCAATGTTATTGATTTCATACAGCTGACAGCAGCTCCTCTGGGATTGTCATTCACATTTGACTTTGCACATTTAATGTTTATTATTTAGTCATACTTTGAGACATAAGGACACACTTTTTAGAAGGCAGATTTTGACCTAGAGGTCACTGGTCTTCAGTTAGCATTAACTATTAAGCTTGTATGGCGCAGGTTTGAATCTGACATGTTTGTACTGACTTCTTGTCTTCCCTCTCTTTAGAACTTATATTATGACTTGTATTGTGTCAATAAAGAGTGGAAATTAATCTCAGAATGCATGCCATTCTTTCATGCATGTGATGTACCTCATATGGTCTTTTTTTTTTTTTTTGAAAGGTTAATAATATTTACATGTTGATCAATAACATGTTGATGTTGAATTGAATAGAACCTTTTCAGTTAACACAATACATTTTTAATAGTTTAGCATTTTAATGTATTGTTTTCTTATTATTTTCCAAAGTAACATTTCAGTTTGCACTTATTTAATTTTAGGTTTATTTTTTTTTATTGCTGTATTTTGTTTATTTTTTAAACTTTATTTAAATGAATAGACTTTTAAAAAATGGCTTCATAATTGTTTTTAATGTAATTTTTAAATGTTTATTCTTTAACTTGTGTTATTTCAGTGAAATATTTATTTGCATTGCTATTGATTTCATTTAATATTTGGTTTTAATTAGTCGTTTATTGCATTTTAGCCCTTTTTTAGTAATTTTTATGTTTTTTTTTCCATTAAATTAATTTATTTCTGTTTTCAGTCACTTATTTTACAGGTTATTTTTTTATTATTTGCCAAAGCAGCATTATTTAAGTTTCAATTTTTTTAATTAATTTAAGCTTGGTTTTTTAAATACATTTTCATCATTGTTAGCAATAATTTTTGTTTAATTTAATTAGTTTTTATTAATATTTGTTTTTTAATTTTGTGTTATATATATATTTTTTAATTAATTTATTCTCATTTTTAATATAGTTAGTATTTCAACTTATGTGTCTCAGCCACATTTAAGTTTTATCTTTATTTTAGTTAATAATTTTTAATAAGGTAATTAATTTTTTTTTCATTTAAGCTTTAATTAATATACAAATGTTTACATATTGTTTTAATTAAATTTTATTACACATTTAGCCATTTTAATTCTTGAACTTGTGTTATTTCAGTTAAATTTTCATTTGCATTCTTGGTTTTCGTCAAATATATGTATCCTCTTGCATCTAAGCTTATTTTTAATAGTTTTTTCATACATTTTTCCTTAAATTAGTTAATTTTGGTTTCAGTCACTTTAATATGTTTTACAACTTATTGTATATTATTTGTAATTAAATATAATTATTGTAATTTTGTAATTATAATAGGTATTTTGTTTCATTTAGGCTTTATTTAAAGGAATATTGTGTAAAAATATAGATTTTCATGATGATGAAGCCTTAATTTGTCACGTATACTTTTACATGTAGCGAAAATGGACCCCCGACCATACACAAGGGAAGAGGGAGGCGAAAAATTAAAAAACCCTTCCAGGCTGTCATTGAATTAGAGCAGTGTGAGATCAGGAAGGGAAACAGCCTCAGCAACCAAGCACATAATTGTTCAGCATTGTTTGCAATAATTTTGGTTTCATTTAATTAGTTTTCATCAAATATTTGCCTTTTATTTTGTTTTTGCTTTTTAAAAAGATTTTAAATGTTGTTTTACTTTAATGTATTCCTTTTGCAGTAAGTCTTTTTTTTTGCATTTGAACTTATTATTTGCCAAAGCAACATTTAAATTGGCACTTTTGCTTAATTTTTGTCAAATAAAATAATTGAAATATTTTATAAACATTTAACATTTTTAATAAGGTAATTTTTTAAAACTTTATTTTAATTAATAGACATTGTTTTTTATTATCATAATTTTTATTACACATTTAACTATTTTGACACTTCAACTTATGTTACTTCAACCCATGTTCCCATTAGCATTCTTATTGGTTTCATTTAACACTTAGTTTTCATTAAATGTGTGTCTTTTATTGCATATAAGCTTAATTTATTTTAATACTTTTAGTTAACAATAGCACAGTTGTTGACAAAAGCATCTAACAGATGACCAAACGTCAAACTCTCCTCTCCTTTTTTTTAGTCACCAGCTGAGATTTCTGACTACTCCTCTTATGACTGTAATGATGAAGATCCAAATGAAAGCAGAGCTGAATCCTCTCTTGCGGCAGACACCAGCAAACAGTCAGTCAGTGAGTGGATCCGCTCCGCTCAGGCCATCCTCCAGACGCCTCAAAAGCAAACCACCAAGACCATCAAAACCCCAGAGGACTCCAGCAAAAAGAGGAGGAGGTTCGAAAGGTATGATCTATTGCACTTGGATCTTCACTTTGGTGCAACCCTGTGCAAGATGAACTCGATTTATGAGTTCAGGCTCTGGCTTTATGATTAGGATTTATCACCTTAACGGATGGTAATCCTTTCACACTGTTATTTATTCTTTTCTTTCTCTCTCTCTTTCTCTCTGTTTGACGTCAAGTTCACAACCCGAAATTTCATATCAAAGTAAACAGACTGAATACAAAAGAGCTCAAAGTCTAGCTCAAG